ACCCAGGACAGAAACTTACTGTTCTGGCTGTCAAAGGCAGGAGATCAAGAAAGGGAAAGATAAATGATGAATGAAGTCAGAACACAGGCATGAGGTGTTCTGTTGAGCTCCTACTGTGTCATTCCATCCTCTTTCCTCATGAAATACCAGACTGCAGTTGCAGTTCTTCAAAATTATGTCCTTAGAGTTCCTGAATGGGCGCATTATTTTCCACTAAACATACAGGCCTCGTGGTTCTTTCACATACTCATAGGTGAAATACCACATGAATCCAAACTGAGGGACACAAAATTACTGGTACAGGATATGTGTAAGAATGATGGAATTTTTTTCCTGTGCAAATACTATTTTTCATAATCTTTCATGACTTTCCGATGTTGACACCCAGGAAAGGTAACAGCACATTTATATGGAACAGAGATCGGTAGACATCATTATGGGGGGAGCTGATTTGCATGCTACATGTAAAAACACTGCAGATTATGAAACATGCTTCGTTTTCAGTGTCTCAGCCTTCTAGGACACACCATTTTTAGAAAAACGTAAACAGTTACAGATTTTTATGTCTGCACATCCATAAAAATAAACATATAACTCCACTGCCTTATTTTCTCAGTCTCCCAGTTTCATACATACTCTTGGTTACAATTTGCCTTTGGCGGTTTAGATGACAGACTCACCAGGTAATTCTTTCCTTATTCTCTTGATCTGTGGAAAAGTGTGTGTTAAATGTAAGGATATAAGGCGATGTTAAACAAGAAAGTCTAAGGAAAGATAAATGAGAAGTAATCATTAGGTTTCAGTATAATGTGAGGTTAAAATTGAGTATCTATCTCACTACTTTTCTGTGAAAAAGCCAATATTTATGCTATGCTTTTCTAGTCTGAGTTGTGTTCTGTTATTCTTCTCTAGGCAGCTGTAGTACCATCCGCACAATCTCTCAACCTAACTGACTTCAACTTCAGTGATTTTGAGCTATCAGATTTTGAAACAACACTGTGTACAATACGAATGTTCACAGACCTCAACCTGGTGCAAAATTTCCAAATGAAACATGAGGTATGAATGTTGCCAGATGCTGCTTCACGTAAAGAGACACCTTAAGTATTAGAAAATTAGGAGAATAATGAAACAAGTCTAGAGCAAATATAAATGGAAATCTGTATTAAAGAGTAGTTAGCAAACTAGGAAGGCATGTAAAGTGGGCAGTACTGGAGTGTGTCCTTAGTTTGGTTCTACTGAATGATTAATAATTCGGTTAATGGACTGTACAACACTTCTAGAAAACTTGGGGATTGGAAGTAGAGGACTCGCTTAAAATTCAGATGAGTTTGAAAATGTATAGCAATATTTCAAAATCAGTAAGAATAAATAAAGACTAACAAAACCATTAAAATTCATAAATGAAAAATGGTAAACAGAAGTGGTAACAAGATTTCACAGCTACTAGTATTAGAAACCGTGTAAAACTCAATAATGTGCCATAGTAGCAAAAAGGGGCAAATTTCATTCTTTCCTGACAGAGTGGCATTAAATACCCATGGAGTAATTGCATCATAGCTTATTATTTGAAGAGGCACACAGAGATAAAAAGTAATTTTTAAAAAGTAAGAATTGAGGAGATGATTGAGCAAAATTTGAATTACTTAAGCTGGTTTTCTCCAGAAAATAGAATGTTGAGGGAGATGATACCAACTTTTCAGCAAGTGAAAAACTTTTATAAATTAGATAGTAATACTATTCTCTATGTCCATACAGGTTAATAAAAGTAATTAGCTTAGTCTTTCCCCCACAAAAGATTAGATGAGAGATGAGGGGGATCTTTATAGTTTATGATAGAGATAGTACAGACTGAAACAGATTATTTACATGGGCTGTGGAGACTTCTGTGAGTGTTTTTACCAATAGATGTAGTTGTAGATATGTCTGTCAGAGGTGATCTAGATAGGTATTCCTACTTTTTTCCTGGCCCTGGAGGTAGACTATATAATCTTAGACCTCTAGGACAATCTCTTAGGCCTCTTTCAGTCAATACACACAATTTCTATTTGTAAACCCCTTAATTTTTAAATACTTTATTTTTCCTTTATATAGTTTTGAACAAAACTTCCAAAGGTTCAAAAGGCAAGATTAATTCAGAGGACTTCATAGGCAAAAAATTAGTGAAAGAAAATATTTAATTATTTTCTAGATCACCAGTTTATAGGCCAGTTTAGATTAGTAGTGTTTAAGGCCTGAAAGGAGGAGTACTGTATAACCTAGTCTGATCTCTTGAATATTCCAGTACTTATTTTTGCCTTTGTGGTCAGGCCAAGAACTTGTACTGCCCATTAAGTAGTGGGCTTCTAGTTCCTAGTGGTGCAATTGTGATGGATTTGCAAAACCAAAATAACACCATGACAGTACACACTTAATCACACATCTCAATAGAAGCAAGAGAACATCGACAGCTTTGAAGCTACACTTTCAACTTGCCATCCTAGGGCTAAAGAAAACTGGCAGTAGCTTAGCACTCCATTTTTAACAGTGGAAAGGTAGAGAACACCGCTGCTTTTGTCTGTGTGGAATCATTTATGCGGGTGAATGATACTGGATTTTCATTTCTGTAAGTACACAACCTTTCAGTAGAAATACTAAAAATTTTCTTGAACAAACCAAGGCCTAAATTCTCAGCCAGCATTTAACATAGAGCAGTATGTTGTACTCATTTAAACCAAGGGACCTGTTCTGGTACACATCAAATTACTATCTGATCTTCACACTGTTCGTTTTTTTAGAAGTATAACCCACAATTTGTAAAACTGTTGTGTAAAACATCCAGGACATACTTTCTTCTTGCATAAAAAAATACTAGCCAGCAATACAGTGATTGCTGTCTTTCTATGATACTTATTTCCTTTCAGAAGTCCTATTCTGCTTGTCTTTTGACAAGCTGATATGAGGGAAGAGCCACATGTTCATTATCAAAACAGCTCTTAAGAGAACTCTGTAACTAAAAAACTACATTTTCTCTGTCAGATAGGTCGTTACAAGCAAGGACTTTCTTCTCCCAGTTAGCTCAGCATAACTCGGTTTCTGAATTAACAGCACTGCATCTGACACTAATATTTAGCCATTAGTAATAAAACCCCAAACACACAAGGATTATGTACTCAGTGAAAGGCTGAACTAGTGGCTGCAAGCATATTCGTATCTATGTTAGCAGTTACAAGTATGTTACATTTAAACTTTTATAAGTTAAAAGGAACTATTTTTTTTTGCTGTGAGAGTTTTCACGTGGGATTACAGAAATACTTGTTTTTATAAAATAATAGATTTCAAATACATTTAGAGTTAACTATGTGATGCTGTTTCTTAAAGGTTCTCTGCAGATGGATTTTAAGTGTAAAGAAAAATTACCGGAAAAATGTTGCTTATCACAATTGGAGGCATGCCTTTAATACAGCGCAGTGCATGTTTGCTGCTTTAAAATCTGGTAAAATTCAGGTACATTTTGCTGTTTCTACATTAAGAATCTTCTGGCTAAAAAAATTCTGTAATAATGCATAGTTTTGATTGCCATGTCAGTAAAATGTTCATCATTCCGTGGCATTGCTAGTGAAATCAAAATATTTCTGCTGAAGGTTTACAGCTTTAAGGGCCTGGTTTGTGAAATTGCTGTCGTTATGTACCCAGTTTCAGTTAAATCCTCTGGAAATGATTAGGTGGATGCTCCCAGTGGGAAAATCTCAAATAAAACACATGCATGACTGTCTTTTTTTAAAGTTAATTCTTATGCTACAGGCAAGTCAAAAAGGTGGAGCAGAAAAAGACTGACACTCTTTCAGGAT